AGAATGTTTTATTCCATTTTTCAATCTTACTTTTTTACACCAAAAAAAAGTTATCAAATTTCTGAAAATCTCTTAAATTCGATAGTAAAAGATCTTCATAATCTTTACTATTTAGTACTAATAAATTTAGTTTTTGACGCGCTTTAAGTTGTAGAGAGGAAGGCAAAGGTTATGTAACACTCTGTATGTTACATTCGATGAATTCATAGTTCATTAAAATTTCTTAAAAAAATATTGGTCGATTTCGAGATTTTAATTATTACGTTTCTTCTGTTTATATAACTATTATTAAAAGAAATAATACCATTTAAAATATCGTCCTCAGGTCAAAACTGGAAACGTGAATCTAAAATAGCCTTTGATCTTATATCTCCGTTGCCTATGAATATAAAGCTCGTTTGTAAAAGGGATATAAATAGTTCGTATTTGCTTGTTTGCCATTTACTCTATCGACAGAAGGAAAAATAATAATTGTTTTCTTTCCTGGTCGTTGTTATCAATAGATTAAAAATAGACGAATTAGTTATTTTGTATCATTATGACCTAATAGAATTGTTTGTTTATTCAAATGAAATGATGAAAAAAAAAATTAACTGGAGAAATACAATCATTCCAAAGAGAAGATTTAGACACTTAGCAATTTTCTCATATGGCGAATAAATAACAAAACTTTTCCTTTATCACCAATGAACAACTCTCAGTTTGCATGTTTTTCTATATAAACATCAAACATGCAGAACGAAATTCTTTTCTGTTTTTGAAAACAATTATACAACCATAATTCACACTTGTATTAACAGTTTTGATTTTCAATGTAATTAGAAGAAAAATCAATATTTTTACACTTTTTTATTCAAGGTCTTACTGCTTTTCTTAATATAAAAACTGTACTTAATGAACCTCGTTTACTCGAATTATCGAATGCTTTATTTACTGCAAGTTGTTCATGGCTTGTTCATCTAGCATCATTATCTGATCAAGTAGAAAATGAAGAAGTCATACAAAAGATTAAACAATTACCATTAATATCAAAAGCAAATCGACAATTAAGTTATATTCCTGAATTTATCATAGAAAATATAACAGATTTTCTTACTTTTCTTGGACGATTCAATGTACAATTATTTGAAGTAATTTTATTTGTTTTTTTTTTAATATTTTAAATTTTGATATATTTTTTATTTTCAAAGTCTTTGTCATCTGTTGATGAATATGTTACTCTCGTTCTTGTATTTATGGGTGATGCAAGTCGATTACGTAATCCACATTTACGTGCTGCATTAGCTGAAGCATTTGAAGCTATTTTACCAAATAAACAACATGGTGGTGGTCGAACATTAAATAGGTTAATTTAATTATTTGATTAATTTTTTTTTTGTTTTTTAATTAATTTTATTTTAGTGCATTTGCTGAAGCTATTTTTACTTATCATCCTTTAATTGAAGATTTACCACGTGTTCTTCTTGATGTATTTGTATCAATTGAATTAACTGGACAAGCAGTAGCATTTGAACAAAAATTTAATTATCGTCGTCCAATGTATGAAATATTAGAATATCTTTGGAAATTTGATAAACATCGAGAACAAGTGAAAGTTAGTTATTTGTGTTTTGTTTGTTTTTTGATTTAAATATAATCAAAGTTTAAATGTTATTTATTTGTTGTTGTTTTTGTCTTTTAGAAACTTGCAACCTATGCTGAAGAACATATTGATGATGCTGAAGCTCCACTTTTCTTACGTTTTATTAATTTACTTATGAATGATGCAAATTTTTTATTAGATGAAGCTTTATCTGTAATTATTTATAATAGGAGCGGGTTGTTTTAACAATGAAATCGAACCCTTCTTGAAATTGAATTGATTGTTTTCCCAAAAGTTAATTCAGATGTTAGAAGTCAATTGTCGTTCGAATTAGATAGCTAGATCTCATTCTGGTTGTGCGTGATGGATTCAAAACTTGATATTGTCTCTTTCAGAGTGTTATGCTATGCAATGATTCTATGAAAAGTTTTCCTCTCGTCTTCAACTCTTGGAAGTTAAATCATATATTAAATGAAAGTTCTTTCTTTACTCTATCAGAGTCGGACATTATATTGTTCATTTGTATATAGAATATGAGGATATCCATGACAAAACTCTTACTATTCAACTGTGAAAGCAACGAATTCACTTTGAATTACATATCATTTAATAGACTTTTCAAAGCTCTACAAAATGATGTATAATTCAAAATGAATTCGTTGCTTTCACAGAGAGGATTTTGTCACGGGTACTCTTATAGTGTGTATACAAGTGAACAATATCATCTAAAAGAAAAAGCTAGAGAACAATATTTTGTCATACTCCGATATGCCATTCTATAGAGTAAAGATCGATAATATGAAGTTTTGAATCAACTTCTTGCAACCGGAATAATGTCTAACTGTCTAATTCGCATGGTAATCGATTTCTAATATCTGAAATAACTTTTGGGGAAATAATCAAGTTAATTTTGGAAGGGAGTTCATTTCATCGCTTAACGATTCTTCCTCATTCTTTATATTTAAAGTTATATTTTATTTTATTTAGCATATGGCTCGTTTAAAAGAAAATCAAGAAGCAATGGATCATGGTGAATGGGATAGTATGCCTAATCAACAAAGACGAGAATTAGAAAATACATTTCGACATACAGGTCAACTAGCTCGTTATACAAATATTATGGGCCTTAAAACGGTAACTGAAATGAAATATTTTGTTTTTGATAAGAAGAAATTCTTTTGTTTTTTTTTCTTCTTTTTATTGTTTTAGTTGATTATTCTTGATATGATAACAAGAAGTATTCAATCAATATTTTGTCAACCAGCTATTTGTGAACGACTTGCTTTAATGCTTAATTATTTTCTTCAACATTTGGTTCGTAGTTTTATTATTATTATTTTTTTTTTTATTTATTTAATAATTCTAACGATTTATAGGTTGGACCTAAAAGACGTAATTTAAAAGTACGAAATCTCAATGAATATCAATTTGAACCACAAAAACTTGTTGCAAAAGTAACAGACATCTATTTAAATTTTTCTCAATATGATGAATTTTGTACTGCTGTTTGTAATGATGGAATGTAAGAAAATGTATTAGAAGAAAAAAAATATATTATTTATTATTTAAAAGGTCCTATAATGAACAATTATTTCCACAAGCAGTTGAAGTACTTGATCGTATTGGACATCCACGAGAAAGAATTGATGCTTTTCTTAAACTCAGCGAACATATTCAAGTAAGCGATTAATACTTAATTAATGATATTGTATTTCAACATAGGATTATTGTTTTTCTTTTATTATATGATCTGTGAGACTGATCGGATCTTGAGAAGTTTCATTTTGATCATACGAATGACAGAGAATAAGTACGATTACATAACCTTTGGCATAAAGTATTCGATTACTTGAAGACAAATGATTAGAACTTTTTACTATTTACGAATATATGTTCAGATTTTCTTTTTCAAATAAGACTGAATAACTATCGGTAAATTTTTGTGAAAATGTCCAAAATTGTATCTGTACATTTTGAAATAGTTTCATTATATTACAGCGCTGAATTTGTGTACAAAATGTGATATTATAATAAGCGAAATCTCATCTATGTGTTTCTATTTAAAAGCTAGTTTCTATGAAAATTTACATTGATGTTTTAAAATCTATCATGTAAGATAAAATACAAAAATAAATAGTATGCTTTATAGAGTAAATTTTACTCTAGAAAACTGAGTCACTAAAAAATTGTTTTGCATTTTGAATTTGATAGGTTTTAATCAAAATACATAATGGATTAAAACAGTATGCTGTACAATTATATTATTTTGAATTTGTTGAAACAATCTGATGATAATTGTTCAATCTTAGTTCAGAATAGAATTCTGAACACATATTCGAAAAAAATCTGATTCTAAGTAATTGCTTCTGTCTTTACGTGGTTGAAAAATGAGTGAATATTTTGTGTCAAGACTTTTGCACCATAGATTACACATACTCATGATCTTAGATCAAATTGGGTAACTAATCACTTGTTAATGCACGTTTTTTATGCATGTCTATACTTGTCTTTTACTAAATAGGATAATCACAACTATAGCTTTCTGTTGTATTTGCTTTTTGGTATTTAGACATAAATTCAGAGTTTTTTGGCCGAACTCGATGTTTGATATTCATTGATTTCAATAATATATCTCGTATCTTAATTTTGAACATTTTGACCCATTTTTCTATACGTATAGAAATAACATTCGTAAAGCGTCGTATGAAATCGAACTGGTTAGTCATGAATAACGTCATATTTTTGGTTGATTGCAATAATTTATTGATTTTTATATTTTTGCATCAAAACAACTAGACTTAAATGTTACAAGAGAAATTAGAATTCAGGAAAATTTAAAAATTTCCTACGATTCGATCGAATTAATTCAGAACATAGTTTTCTTCTTATTTTTTTGCCTTTTATCGAACATTCACCACAATAAACATTGTTCGAGAAAAGAGATCGTAATTTGCAATAAACTAGAAAATATGACTGTGGCTAAAAACTAGTCATCAGTATTGATTCTTTGTTAGTAAGAATTCGAAAAAAATTCTGTATTTATTCATAATTTAAAGACTAATGAATATATTTAAAAACATGTCCGATTAATGCTTTCTTCTTCTTCTTCTAGGTTTTTGCTGCACAACAAAAAGAAAATGATGCAGTATATGATGATGCACCAGATGAATATCTTGATCCTATTACAAGTACACTTATGAGTGATCCTGTTATGTTACCTAGTTCTCGACAAATTATCGATCGTGCAACTATTGCTCGACATCTTCTTAGGTATTGAAATGAATAGATTTTTTTTTTCTATTAGATTCTAATTTAATATTTGTGTATAATATTTAAAATAGTGATCAAACAGATCCATTTAATCGAAATCCATTACGTATGCAAGATGTTATACCACAATCGGAATTAAAGGAAACAATTGAGCAATGGAAAGCATCACGACGTCGACAACAGTCATAAGCATATTTAAATTCATGCATTATGTGTTTTGTTTTGTTTTGTTTTTTTTAACGAAAAATAAAATATAAGTTTTTGTTCAATTTTTTCAAAACAAGAACGATCAATTTCGCAAATTTATTTTGTTTGAAATATTTTGCAGATTTTTATTGATATATATTTTTCTGATTTTAAAAATCTATGGATATATCAATTGTTCGTGATATTGCTCGATGGACTGATAATATGTTGAAATCAATTGGGTTCGAATTATTTTTATTCTAATTAGAATATTTTATTTCCTTTATTTAGTATTAAACCACTTCCTCCATCACCACCACCACCACCACCGCTACCATCAATGCCAGCAAAATCCATACTTTCAAGTTCAATGTTATCTCCAACTATGAAGAATTTTGTTCGTTGTGCTGGTTTATCTGGTGCATCAGCTATTTGTTTAGGTGTTTATGGAGCTCATGTAATGAGAGACAATACATCAGATGATCTTCGACGTGTAAGTTTATAAATAATTTTATACTACTAATCTTTTATTTCTTATTAAATTTAGTTATTTGAATTAGCACAAACATATCATTTACTTCATTCAGTAGCTTTACTTGCATTACCATTAGTTTCTCGACCAATGGTTACCGGTTCTTTATTTCTCGGTGGTTTGGTACTTTTTTGTGGTCCAATGTATTTTCATGCTATTCGTAATGATACACGATTTCGTCGTGTAACACCATATGGTGGTATTCTTCTGATTGCTGGATGGTTATCTATTGTTGTACTTTGAAGAACAACAAAAAAAAACAAAAACGTTTTTTTTTTTCATTAACTTTATTAGTAGCAAAAGAATATAGTTTGAAACATGAAACATTTGAAAAGAATAAATATTAAGTCATGATTGGCTTTTTTTTTTGTCGACTATATTTACATAATAACGAAATTTATGTGAAAGACTTGAAAATAAAGTTTGGACGGTTTTCAATGCTTAATAAAACATTTAGGATTGAAGTAACATTTATTGTAAATATATCGATAAAGAGAGCAAATATTTCTCTACAAAAGAAAAAAATTCAAAATCTGATGCAGTCAAGAAAAAGAAAGTAGGATTAAATAAAATCGGCTTGTTGCTACAAACGTAACAGAATACAGTCATATTCTCCGTCTCTGTCCAAATTTTATTTTCCTATGTTTTCAAAGATTTGCTTATAACGCCTGATCTATGAGTCTCACAAATATTCTGAACATAGATTTAGAAAGATCAAAAAAAAAAACAAAATTCTACTTCTAACTAAATATTTAATGTTCTCTAGTGATTCCCTCTTAAATGGTGGGAAAATGAAGGAATCTTCTACGTTCTTGCATGCACAAAAAAAAGGCATGTCGACCTATTTCTGATCGTGATTTTGTTATCATTATTAGATAAATATAAATAAGTTCGATTCATTCTGTTGAGACCGAGGACAAAATATACACGATAAAGGAAAATTTTTTATTCCATTATTACTATCAATTGTATGTTTGAATATATATCTTGAATTAATAGAAAAAATACAAAGATGAATTCAGTTGGTATAAACAACGTTGCGTAATAGTAATTAAAATTACTACGGACAAAATTTATATTTGTATATATTTTTGTTGTTGTATGAATTGATATATTGTATTTTTAGAATTAAAAAAACATTATACTCATTTGAATCTTCTGCAATTGTAATGTGATTGAATATGTATTTTGAAAGATCTGTAACTTTTTGAGAATGAGAGATAGTTGAGACTGATGAGAAAGATTTCAACTACAAACTTCAATCTATTACATAGTGAGAATGGCACAAAAGTTACTTTATCATAAACAAAAAATATGAATATTTCCATTTATTAATGATGATACTTCAAAGGAATATTTTCAATGTTTATTTTAAGAATATGGCGGATAGATCAACAATAACAGATATGTTATGCGAAATATGTCTGAGTCAGTTGAGAATATAATCGGCGAGTATGAACATCAATTGATACCTCTGATGTGGATATGCTGCAAGATGATTTGTGTACAAAGCCAGAATTGTACTGAATGTGCAAAGAACTCAGTCAAAGTTTGTTGGTGATAATGTAACTTACTGTGAGAATGAAACATTTTTCTATCCGTACCAACTACTTGTTCAATTCAGATTGGATAGGTTTTATTCACAAGAAATGTGTATATCGAAATAAGACAAGAAAAAAAAACAATTAAGAAAGAGAAAGTAACGGCATTTGCGTAGCAACAACGTCTGATTTTCATAGCAATCTTAACAAGAGCTGGTGCAATATATCGAACACTAGAAGTGAATCGTCTGTATAAGCCTGAAATACATGATATGAGATAAAGAAAGTGATTGCATTGTTCGAATGTGTAGGAACATTATGTTGAAAAGCATATTGTTCATAGTATTTCGAATAAGAGACATTGATATACCATTCTTCACTAGATAATTGATCGACAATCTCTTGTATCATTATATTCGTCGAGAAATGACTTCATACTGACTGATCCATCACTTCGACACAGTGTGGTTTGGTTAAAATAGGAACAAGAAAGAATATCGAGTAAAATATCAACCCATTGATATGTGTCTAATTACAGAAACATTTCAGAGTTGAGCATAACAAATTTTTAATCATTGGACACTCAACATTCCATCCTGGTACAACAAAATAAAGTGAATGTGGGTATGAATGTATGTGAAGACAAGATCGAATTTCCAATCATAGACACAGGAATACCCGGCCATATCCCACACTCTTACTGTACTCAAATTATTTTTTAATAAATGAACTCAAAAGAATGGGTAAATATATAGAATGATAGCGAATTCCGAGCTCTATTACAATATATATTTACTTTTCTAAAAAGGTATTTCTATAGTAATGAAAGCTTGAAAAAAACCTAATTTTGATGACAGCAACAAAATAAAGTTTGGGGGGGGGGGGGAATCTGATGATGAGAGTACCTTCATTGCACTCGGTTTATTTTGATAGTACATAAGTGCAAACTAAAACAAGAAAATCCTCAGCGCTTTCAGAATACGTACTTATTTATTTTTTTGAAAAATACATTATTATAGTGACGATATATTTAAAATAGAGACTGCAACTATTTATTTCCAGAAGGATATATTACCGAAAAAAACTCATCATTTATTGAATTCGTGTGTGAGAATGAATACATTGATGACGAGTAGACTCACACTCTCAAATAATACGAATCAATGATGAACATCTTGCATATTCCAAGTAAAATAAATTCGTTCATACGCAACCACATTGAGTATTTTCGAATTCATGGTTGCGATGAAATCTATAGATATTGATATCATAGTTTTCATCCACAACGATAACCCATCGAAGAATTTGACTCAGATCTTTTACACAAAATTCATCTCAATTAGTATTTGCATGTACATAGTAAACAGTATCGTGATTTTTCTACCATCTATTGCTATTTGAGACTGTATGAAGTTGAGACCAAGTTACTTCTTTTACACTGCTCATTCGTATCTCAGTACAGATAGTAGCACCACTATGACAAGCTTTTCTTTCAGTGCCTTTAATTGATCGAGCAAAATATACTACAAATCCAAACATCTGTGGTAGTTTGCTGCTGATCCTAAAGTCTGTATGAGCAATATTCACGGCTGTTGTACGATAAAAACCGATATAAATATCACGTTCTCGATCGCTGTCACTGAGCTCTGTCCATCTTAATTGTAGTTTATACTCGCTCGAATGAAGAGCGATTATCACCCAGTAGATGATAAGAAAGAAAACGGACATGTTTCGGCGGCAGACGTTGACACGATGTGTCATCATCACATAATGGTTGATAGTGCCACCATATTCTATAACGATAGATATCAAGCAAAATCATGCATAATGGACATAAAATTGATATTCCACATAAAAATGCAACTTCATCTTGTCTCCCATACATATTTTTAGTTGCATAAACGATAATAGCAACTAATCGTAAGATTGAACTCGTAACTAAGAGTATCGTATGATGACGAAAGCGATTTTTTGAACGTGTTATATAAAAAGGAAAATTGCGATTAAATATTACGAATCGAAATGTAGCAGGCTGACAAATTTGTCAAGAAAAAACTGTTTCTACTCCTTTACCAGTACAGATAAAACCGATGAAATTAAGTACAAAGATCACGATGAACAGATAGATTAATACTTCAGTTAAAATTGCAACTACAGAACTTATAAAATCAAGCACAATAGCAGCACATACTTGAGCATGGTCATTAATCAAATGAGCAAAACCTAAAGCAGCTTCAGCTGTGGCGATTAGTAAATAAAAAAAACTGGCAAGCCACGATAAAGAATAATTTTCAAAGTTATACATGGATATTGACACATGATTTGGTCGATAATACTGATTAATTTCTAAAGAGTATTGTCGATTAAAAACTCGTGGCAACGTTCTTGCCGTTTGTTAATTATTTGTTGGAAAGATATCAGATGTTTCTTTCTTCCAAGAATTTATATACTTTATAGGCGTATCTTGAAAGAGTGTCAAGATAAACATAATTTAATCTTCGCACGTGTTTATTTCTTTTGTTGCATCGATATATGATGTCAACACAAGATAATTGTAATATACAAATACTAATGTCGAAACAGTAAATGTGTTTTTTTGATACATCGTGCACCATATTGAAAATCATTATCTTAAATCGTTCTATCGAGTTGATATTGAGAGTGTGACATAATTATTATAGTTATCATAAGAGTTTAGTGACACATTGTCAAGTTCGTCGTTTGTCGATTCGTATCCAAATCAGCAAAATATGTTCTAGTTAACTCTTATTGATGTACGATTTACAATGAAATCATAGTTTAACTCAATTGATTTTTTTTTCAATTGAAATCTTTGGGAAATCTGTTTTGACAAACATCTCAAGGATGGGTGTGGATGAGAGCGAAGTTCAAGAGAAAATTCCTAAATAGTGCCGCATACACTCTCACCCAATTAATATTGACTGTGCACAGTATTGCACTGATTTTGTCGTTGTTTGACTTGGCATGTCATTTCGATTGTGATGATCAATGTTTTTAGTGTTCTCACTCATCGACATATTCATATATTCGAAGAAATGAATGACAGTCATCATCTAGTTCACTGATCCTTTTCACTATCTCATCTGACAGACAAATGACCAGCATAACATTATTTTTAATAGCCATTTTATTATTGGGTGTTATTGAGTAAATATCGCTGAAAATAAAACTCAACAATAATAATTGAATAAGAATGCTTTACATAATTTGAGATCCTTCACTTTTATTTTAATCTGAGTAGTATCACTGAAAAATATTTCCCATTTTTTCATTCAACTTTTCTTTTACATTTTAAAACACATTCTATTATTATTTTGAATACTTCATTAAGTGAAAAAACTCTCGAATTAATTTTAAGTATTATTCTTATATTTTATCTTACGAATTTGTCATTATTATATCTTCCATATTTTATTTTCATTTTTTATTTTATATCTTCGTTAGAGTATCCGACAATTATAATAAACTTTATTGAACGCCTAGAGAAGACATGTATAAAATGAAAATTTAGCAGTAGCTAACCGATAGAATCTTGGTTTTAGGTATATATTTCTGTTAGAAACTGTCATTACCTATATTAAATTATTTTGTTGACAGACTTTTTATAAAAATACGTTCTACTGTTTTGCTGACTATGTTATTTAGAAATAATAAATTCCATGAAGTAATTTAGACAAAGCTTTTTTTTCTTCTTGAGAAACTTTTAACGGTATCACTTAAATTCAATGAAATTGAATTTCAAAAGAACGAACTAATGGCAAACAATGAAAGAAAAAGAGTATAGCTACCTTTTTGTGGTAATAACAAAGTTATGGAAATGAATAAGCCCCGCGTCCAGCACAATAGAGAACTTTCTTGAAGAAATGATGTGCCGAACGTAATATATTACTCCTCCTCGTCTTCCATAAATTAATTAATATCTCGACAAATTGGAACTTTAATTAGTATATTTACATCAAAGTCTGACTAATTTTTAAAGTTTTGATCTAAAAATCGTACAAGATTCAAGTCAATATAATTTCTCGACATTTAAAACCGTGAAAAACTCTTCCCAGAATCTTCAAAGTCGTTTGAGTTTTTTTCTGAAAAGTCTTTTTAATTAAAAACAATGGAAATAAATGAAACACAATAGAGGATCCTATACCTGAAAAAGTTGTACGCTGGAACTTTTAATAAAAGACTCGGAGTGTTCTATTTTGGAAGAAGTTTTCCTTATAAATTTCAGCCAACATAGATTTTACTCATCATGAAAAGATACTTTGACTAATAACCTTATGTTCAGTATTGTCCATGGATTATTACAGTACTAGGTGGGTAAAAATATTATACTAGGGGGGTAATGCTATGATT